CGGATGTGAGAGAGGCACATCGATTGGTTGCCTCCCACACTCCTGACCAGGGGATGGAGCCTGCCACGGAGGAAGGCGCCCTTGACTGGTGTGGCTGGCACTCCTCTGTCCGCCGTGACCCCTCTGAGCCCACCGGCCAGCGCGTCTGGCTTCTGGAGACGCCACGGGAGGCACGCCCTCAGAGGGGCTTCAGCGCCCCCAGTTCTCAGCTCACGCCTCCCCCTCACCCCCACCCCAGGAGGCTGGGAGAACGTATTTGGCAAAGTTCCTCAAAGCCACATCACGGGGGTCAGAGTAGTGAGACACGGACAGGCAGACAAGCAGACAGATGCGGGAAATGTGGAGCTGCAGGCTGAGCTCGGCTGCTGGTGGCCTCCGAGTCCAGGCAGCACTTCTGCGAGATGTGGTGGTGGTCCCTGTCACTGTGGTCCTCACCACCGCCATCGAGTGGTCGTCTTGGTGGGCGGCAGGGACGAGCGGCTGTCCGAGGCGCTGTGAGGCGGTGGGGAGCTGCCTCTGGGCGGCTGGCCGGACGGGCACAGCCCCGGGCTCGTCTGAGCTCTGATGATGCGGAAAACCACGGCCCCTCTCCGCGGAGACGGTCACTTGCATTATTTTTTTTAATTTTCATAATTGGTTTTTAGAGAGAGGGAGGGGGGCTAGGGAAAGGGAGATAGAAAGAGAAACGTTCGTGTGAGAGACAATTGGTTGATTGCCTCCCGCACTCACCTCTACCAGGGATGGAGCCTGCCCAGCCTGCCACCAAGCTACAGGCCCTTGACGGAGTCAAACGCAGGCCTAACGCTCTAGCCACTGGGCCAAAATGGCCAGGGCTGGCAAAATGCTTCACAGCCATGTCATGGCGGTCAAGGTAGTAAGACAGGGACAAGTAGGAGTAAGAAGTGGGGGAGCTCCCGTTAATTTGCTGGGCGATGGCACCTCCAAATCCGGGTAGCAGTTCTGGCGCGGTGGATGCGGTGGCAGTCAGCATGGCTGTCCCCATGGTCAGCATCGCTGCTGTCACGCTGTGTGGGTCCTCGTTGCGTGGTCGTCGTGGTGGGAGGCTGAGGAGAAGTGGCTGCCTGGCGCTGGGACGGGGTGGCCGTGGCGGGCCTGGGGGCTGTCCAAGGCGCTGCGAGGTGGCGAAGGCAGCAGCCTCTGGGCGGCTGGCGGGGACCGACCGGTGAGCACCGGGCTCGTCCGAGCTCTATTGAAGTGGGAAACCATGGCCGCTCTCACTTTCATTATTTTTTAAATATACTTAAAAAAAAGTCCTCACCTGAAGATATTTTCCACTGATTTTTAGAAGGAGGGAAAGGCAGAGAAACATCCATGTGAGAGAAACCCATCGATTGGTTGCCTCCTGCAAGAGCCCAAGCCAGGGCCTGGGCCAGGGAGCAGCCAGCAACCGAGGTACATGCCCTTGACCAGAATCAAACCTGGGATCCTTCCGTCCGCAGGCTGGTACTCTGAGCCAAAACGGCTAGTGCTAAAATATACTTTTTAATTGAAAGAGAAACATCAATGTGTGAGAGAGAGACATCTATGGAACGCTCCCCACGCATTCAACCCAGCGATCGAGCTTGCAACCTTGGCATGCGCCCTGATGAGGAATCAAACCAACCTTTTGGTGCATGGAACAGCGCCCAACCCACTGAACCACACAGGCCAGGGCTTACGTCCTTATTTTTAAAACCATAATTGTTTAGCCCTGGTCGGTGTGGCTGGGTTGGTCAGAGCAGCCTCCGTGCACCGCGGACCGAGGGGAGGTGCTGTCGGTTTACCATTTTGTCGCTGTAAACTGTTTCTCACTCCCGGCTTTTACAGATCGCGCCGCACTGGACGTCACCGTACCAAAAATGGTCACTTTTTCCTGGTTATTTCCTAGAGAGGAAGTCCTAGACATGAAATTACTAGGTCAAAGTTAAAAAACATTTAAAACACCCTTGCTATCTTTCTCCATTGCCAGAATGAAAGGTGGCTTTCAATTTTGCATCTGCGGGCAATTTGCAATGATAGTATCTTTCCATTCAAAAAAAAAAAAGAATTTCTTTTTAACTATTGTAAAAGGTAACTGCTGCATTGTACTTTTCTATTGGCACTCCTTCGTTTGCCCTGAAGGCTGTCCTTGCTTCCGGGTGCTTTTCTGTGAGTTAGAAAACGCCCTGGGACCATTTTTTCCTTCTGTGAGGACGCATTTATTTCCTGTTCACTTGCACTAGTTCTTTATAAAGTAGAAATAGTATGCCCTTCATTACCATATTTATGACAAATATACAGATATAAAAAACATACAAATATACAGACAAATATGACAGATTGTCCTTTGGTTTCTAATGTTATTACCACTTCTGAGGTGCAGAGGGTTGCATCTTCACAGTTTTTTCCTTTGTGGTTTTTTCCGTAGCCTCTTACACATCACGAATGCACCTCCAGGCTCACCTGAATGTCCCACTAGATTATTACAGGTCCATTTTCTTTTTAAAAAGAAGTCTTTAATTTGTCTGGAACTATTTTAATGAATGCGGTGAGTTATAAATGGAACTGGACTTTCCCCAAACAGCCCATTTTTCCATTAGAGTAACTGCTTCATATTTATTTTCCCTATTAAGTTGTACTTCTTTTTATCATATAAGAATCCCTTTTCTGGACATTCTACTCTATTTCTTTTTTTTCAAATACATTTTTTATTGATTTAAAAATATATTTTATTGATTTTTTTACAGAAAGGGAGAAGGGAAAGACAGTTAGAAACATCGATGAGAGAGAAAAATTGATCAGCTGCCTCCTGCACACCCCCTACCAGGGAAGTGCCCACAGCCAAGGTACATGCCCTTGACCGGAACTGAACGTGGGACCTTTCAGTCCGCAGGCCAACACTCTATCCACTGAGCCAAACCGGTTTCGGGTTGATTTTTTACAGAGAGGAAGGGAGAGGGATAGAAAGCTAGAAACATCGATGAGAGAGAAACATAGACCAGCTGCCTCCTGCACATCCCCCATCGGGGATGTGCCCGCAACCAATGTACATGCCCTTGACCGAATCAAACCTGGGACCTTTCAGTCCGCAGAATGACGCTCTATTCACTGAGCCAAGCTGGTTTTGATTCTTCTCTATTTCACTCATCGGGTTTCTTCTTTAACTAACGTATTATAATATTTTACTTGCAACTTTATATCTTTCAGATCTAGTATGGTAAGTTCTCCGTATCATTCTTTTAAAGAAATCTTAGCTATTCTTATCAGTTTATTCATCCAGATGACACTTAGAATTTTGACACATTCCCCGCCCCCCCAATCATGTGGGATTTTGGTTGCAATTGTTCCTACCAAGGATCAGGGTGCTGCCGCAGTTTTCTTCACGTAGATTCTGTTCAATTGTTATTTCTAAGCAATTTATTGTGACTATTGAGAGTGTATTTTCCCGCCCTCCATGCTCTGGCTACTACTAATCATCGTTAGAATAATAGAAAGCAAGTGATCCCCCCCCCCTTTTTTTGCTACTACCAATTCTGAAAATGTCTCAAATGCGTGCGTACCCTGTTTCCCTGAAAATAAGACAGTGTCTTATATTAATTTTTTCTCCCAAAGTTGCGCTAGGTCTTATTTTCAGGGAATGTCGTATCTTTCCATGCGCTAGGTCTTATTTTCGGACGATGTCTTATTTTCGGGGAAACACGGTATTTTGGGGTTTCTAGATGGGCCACCACACGTACAACTAGTGATACTTTGGTATCTTCTTCCTGATCCTTGGGTGGCCTTCTTGCTGCTGTTTACTGTGTGTGAGGCCTGGAGAGAATGTTCAATGGGCCGTGAGGAAAGCCTTCCTGCTTTAGGCTCCCCCCCGCCCCCTTGAGAATGTCTATGTTCCACTGACGATTTATAAGATGACCAGACGTCCCACTTTTGGTGGGACAGTCCCGATTTCTAACAATTTGTCCCGCATCTCACGGCGCTTTTAAAAAGTCCCGATTTCAAAAATTGGGACTTTTTTTTTAAAAAACGATGCGGGACAAATTGTTAAAAATTGGGACTGTCCTGCCAAAAGCTGGGCGTCTGGTCACCTTAAGTTTAAAGCACCTTTTAAATTATCGTGCTCAGAAAGGCTCTCTCCTGGAAACGACACATGGGGGAAGTAAAACCAGACACTAATTTTTAAAATGGGGGGTTGGGAGGAGGATGCCTCTGGGTGCTCTTACACATCCTCCTGTACAACTGGATCTGCACTAATTCTGAATTACTCTGTGCTTTAAAATCAAGCAACAGCAAGGGTGGGGTGGGGTTGGGGGACACACACACACACACACACACAAACATTTCTATATCCAGTTTTCAAATCACTTAGAAGTTCAAGAGGGGATGCCAACATTTATGACTGACTGCTTTTCCCCATCGAGCGTGAGGAAGGCCAGGCTGCTTCTCAGCCATCTCGTCCGCCAGCCTCGCGTTTCTGGAACCGAGGCCCGCAGACCCTGGGCTATGGCTAACGTGGGCCTGGGCGGCATTTTAGGCTGGGGTCGGAGGTCCAACGCCGGGCTGGGCGCCGTCCCCCCGCTGTGAGCCGGGTCAGTGAGAGGCGGGAGAAGGTGGGAAGGGTCGGTCCCGTGACCACCCGGAATTGCCCTTCCTGGAACTTTTCACCCTCAACACCCCGGGGCAGAGCCTCGCTTTTCCAGTTTCTTCCCAGGTCCTTTCTGGAGCCGCCTGAGTAATTCAATCCCATCTGCTCGCTTTTGTAAAACCTAAAACACGTGCCACGGCCCCCGCGGCGAGGTGGCTGCTCCCTGCTGGGGCCTTCCAGCCCATTGTGGAGCAGGGGGCGGGGCTGCGGGACCGGGGGCGGGGCTGCGGGACCGGGGGCGGGGCTTCGGGGCCGGGGGCGGGGCTTCGTCCCTGCGCAGCACCTCCCAGCACCGCCCGAAGCTGTCCCGGCGCGCACGCGTTCCGCTCCGCGCCGGCGCTGCTGGACCCTCTGGCGTGCCGTCCTTTCCCGGCATGCCCCGCGCAACCGAACCCGGAAGTAGTGTTTGCCTCCTCGGTACAGGTGCGTCCGTGCCGGGTGGTGGTAGCCGCGCCGGTGGGCGCAGCCCGCGGGCAGGTGCTGGTCGGGCTGCCGCCATGGCCGAGGGTCAGGACCTGTTCGACGCCATCGTGATGGCGGATGACAGGTGGGTCCCCGACCTGTCGGGTCCGCTCTCAGCTGCTGGGGTGCAGTGGCCGCTCGAGGAAACGCTGTGTGGCCCTAGGAGCAGCGGACACGTGTGGGGGCCGAGCTCTGGTTGATTCCCCTTTACTTCTCGGCCGCTGGGGCGGGGCGGGCCCACGTGCCCAGCTGCTCCTCCAAACCCGCCTCCGCGCCCGGGGCTGCCCCAGGCATCTGCTCGGTCTGTTGGCTGTCTTCGTCCAGGAACGCCCCGTCCTCGGCCGGGACAGACCTCTGCCATCTGGGCACTGCCCCTTTCTCTTGTTTCTACGTGGTAGGACATAAGGCAGCATTCAGGGACATGCTGATAAATGTGTCAGACGTCATCCCTGACCCCCAGATCCTCTGGGAGCGCCTGGGGCTGTGACAAGAGGAGCTGTGAATTGCTTTGTGCCTCTCTGAGACAGCAATAGATGTCAATCAGTCGCTGCTGACTTTTATTTGGAGCTTATTGTGAATCCGATTCTGACTTGAGTGCTGCAAACTCCCGCCCCCATTATCTGTTTTAGTAGATTCTGTTATTCACCCTGTCTTACAGATGAGGCAGGGTCACTGTCCAGGATCACACAACCAAAATAGGCCAGACCCATATAGTCTGCCTCATTAGGGGCCCCGGCAAACAACTTTACTTTTTGGTGACTGAAGGTTAAATGGTGCCATTTCTACTGCTGAGTCCTCAAAATCAGAGCTGGTATTATACTCTAGGCCCCACATATGTTTTGTGGTGATCTAATGACATTTTCCTCTGCTAGTCTACCCTGATGTGATGGAAAACCCAGTGTGTTTCTCAGAGTTCTTTGAAACAATTGGCTGAGTGTATTTCTCACAGACTCATAGGACCGTGGCTACAGACTAGCATCACCGAGGAGGTTTCAAAAAGTAGATTCCTAAGTCGTACTCCAGCCTCAGTGACTAGTGGGCCGAGGCTCTTGAATTGGCATCTTTGAAATTTTCCTGTGTGTCTCTGGCGGGCCACCAGATTTGGGAATCACTAACGAGGCCACGTTCCTCATTGCAGAAGAGGCCAGGTGGGCTTCAAGAGGTCCAGTGCCTTGCCAGAGGACAGACTTAGGAAGGGGTACAGCCAGGATAGGAACCTAAGTCTTCTGACTTAAATTCTGTATTTCATCTATTATTCTGTTGTCTTGCTGGGTCTGGAGCATTTTTCCTGGAAAAACATCTCTTCTGTGTTGGCAACATGGAAGAGAAGTTTTTCCAGGAAACACGCTGCTTCTCTGTCGCAGGTTCCGCGGGGAGGGGTATCAGGAAGGCTACGAAGAAGGCAGCGGCTTGGGCATAATTGAAGGAAGACAGCACGGCACAGTATATGGAGCAAAGATCGGGTCTGAGGTAAGTGGCCGTCCCCAGTGAATCCTGCTCATGGGCCGGTTAGAGCTTACTTTGCTGATCGAGCCAGCACTTCAGGCCCCGACGAGACCGTAAACTGATGGAGAAATATTCTTAGCACAGAACCGCCGGCACATATTGCTGATGGACGTAATGCGTTGTGCGTGTGGCTGGGAGTGAGAAGAGCAGTCCATAGTCACCTCCGATGTGGGCGAGGGTCACAGTGCCACCTCGTGATTTTAGCCAGCTGAGTCCTCACTCAGAAAAACTGCTCTGTGCCATGTGGGAGCACTGCATTTTCATTTAGGTTGAAACGCCATGATTTTCCTTCTCTTTACCCTTCGTCCTACATTGGCCCTCACTTACAGACATCTGGCCCTGAACGCTAAGTTAGGCAGTCACGGCCATGAGATAGATAACTGCTGCTGCAGAAAGAATCGGCACAACACGTATGGACTGAGGTCAGCAGACATTGGTTCTCAGCAGCTTCTGAGGGCCAGCAGGCCAGGAGCAGCCGAGCTGGGTGCTCACGGCTCGGGGTCTCCTGATGACGGTGTCAGACCAGCCAGGGCTCCACTGGGGCTGGAAGAGTCACTTGTAAGATGGCTCGCACGGCAGCGGTTCTCGCCTGTGGGTCTGTCAGTGGGTCTGCTGTAATGTCCTCATGACACTTGAGTGAGTGATTGATCCAAAACAGCAAGGTACAGGTGACGCTGTCTGTGTGTCTAACGGCAGAAGTCATGTGCGCCCTCTTCTTTCATGTTCTGGCCTCCCTGGTGTAGTTGGAGGGGGTGGGATCCATGGGCCCAGCTTGGAGATTGGCTGCCCCACTGATGACTTGACTTAACTCCCCCTGCCTGATGCTCGACACCTCATTCCAGAATAGCAATACAAGAAGCACCACTGCCCTCCGCCCCGCTCTTGTTTAGGGAGCTTGATCATGAAATCGAGTGTAGCTAGTTGTGTATTAATTTTACTCTTAAATGTTTGTGAATTCGCAGATCGGATGCTACCAAGGTTTTGCGTTTGCTTGGAGATATCTCCTGCACAGCTGTGCAACTGAGAAAGACAGGTAAGTCCCAGACTTCTTTCCTTTTCAGTGTATGGACCAAGTGTGCTGGTTCCACAGCTTGCTATGACCTTGGGCAGTTAATGTCTCAGTCTTCTCATCTGCAAAATGGAGAAATAACCAGGCCAAGCTTGAATGGTATCTTGAAATGAATAGGAAGTAATGTGGTAATTCTCCTTTATCTGCAGTTTCCGTCATCTGCAGTCTGAAAATATTAAATGGGAAGTCCCAGAAGTAAACAGCTCATAAGTTTTAAATTGTGCACCATAGTGAGTGGTGTGACAAAATTGCATGCCTTCCTGCTCTGTTCTGCCTGGGACACAGATGGTTCCTGTGTCCAGCAAGTCCACGCTGTAGACACTCCCTGCGGGTTAGTCACTTAGTCACCATCTCGGTGATCAGATGGACTGTCCTGATATCATAGTGCTTGAGTTCAACCCCTCACCCCCTCACCCCAATTTTACTTAATTATAGTTCCAGAGTGCAAGAGTGGAGGTGCCGGCAATTAGGATGCACCATGGAGAAGCCATAAGAGTTTCCTTTAAGTGAAAAGGTGTGTGGGTGTGTGTGTGTGTGTATGTGTGTGTGTGTGTAAACAATATATGTGGCACTGGGCACTATCCATGGTTTCAGGCACCCACTGGGGGTCTTGGACTGTCTCCCCCGAGGGCAAGGGGAGATTACTGTGAGAGACAGTCCTGGGCACATTTCCAGCGTCTGATGAACACTGGTTGTTACTGCTTCTCAAGAGTTCTCATGCCCCCTGGCTTTTCATGGCGTCATTTAGAGCAGTGGTGCCCGGGTACCCGGCCAATAAAGTAATGTTGAAATTGATTATATCTTCTCCTTCCCCTGTACCTGAATGTCTAACAAAGTACAACAGTAACGGTTTGACGAGGGCTCGGAAATGCTCGCTTCACCGTCCCCAGTTTTTTAACCTTGCCAACCGGATCTGCTAACGAGATGCGTGTTCAGTGTGTTTAACAGGCATCTGCACTTGGAAGCACTAAGTGCTGTTGGCTGTCACAGGCTTTTTAAACTGTTCTTACTGTGTGGCCCGTAGCATCTGTCTTCATTCTGATGCCTGGCGGCCTTGCCCAGCCTGGGAGGGGCGTGAGGAGAGCAGAGAAGGTGGCATTCCCATCTCTATGACTCGTATTACTTTGAGTCTCTGGAGCTTGGGCACCCCTGTGTTCAGATGTAGGAACAGGGTGCTTGCAGCCAAGCGGCTGGTCCTAAGTTGCTTGCCCTCTGGCTTGTCTGCTCACCAGCCGCTCCATCCGCATGGAGAGTTGGAAACTGACCAGGTTCTGGCGCCTTTGCAGGGGTTTTCCCCTGAGGAGCCAGCGGGAGCGCAGGGTGGCTGGCGATCTGGTTGGAACAGTGGCTGGCAGCCTGGGGCACCACTGGGTGGCAGTCACAGCTGAGCTTGGCTCTCACTCCGATCCATGAAGGGGCGAGGGGAGGTGCGTTCCTGGAGTTCTCCACGAGTCTCCCCGGTGCCAGGTCTGCTGGCGGGTGGAGGCATGTTGCCCTGGTGCCCACACCTAGGGCGCCAGTCCTTGCCCAGAGCAGGGGTTCCCTGTGCCTGGCCTGTCAGAGAGAAGGAACCGCAGCTTTGGCACCGGCAGGCGGATGCCCACAGCCCACCTGCGGCCGCCCCCACCCTGCCAGCAGTGCCTGAGGGTCTCTGACGCACCTAGAGGCCTCTGTTTCAGCGCCCTGGCCAGTGAACGGCCTGCAGCTTCTGGCTCTTGTAGGTCAGTACAGTTTTGAAAAACGATAGAAAGCTGACCGAGGATCTTATGCCCCCACTGAGGGTGCTGAGAGAGACACCTGCGTCCGCATCAGCATTCAGTGGAATTGGGCTCTTTACAGCAGAGGAGCCATGGATGGCAGCATCCCAGACTGAGGACGGTGCCTTACCCCTGGCGGCCGCAGCTTTTCCATGAACTCTGAGCTGCTGCTCTGCCCCTGAGCAGCCTGGTGAAGCCTCACCCAGACCGACACTTGGCCGGGGCTGAGCTGGGGCGCTGAGAGCGGCCCACGCCCTCCTGGCACACACTGACTTCGCTGGGTGTGTTCGGAGCAGCATCACTGACCGGGGGAGAATAAGTCGCTGCTTGCAAAGTTGGAAATGGTGGTGTTCTTCACGTCACGTTCCAATACGACTGTTTCCCACATGCTGGCCTCCGTCTGCGATCTCCCTGGAAACCAAATGCTTTGTTGCTTTAATTAACTTGCTCTGACCTTTCACCGTGCTGCACTTTCTCAGAGAGGTGGCCACCCTGGTCCTGGTCCAGCGGCTTGCTTGGCAGCCTCCCTTACGCCTGCATCTGAAGCCGGGCAGTATAGCAGGCTCACAGGAGGTCTTGGTTGCTTCGAATTGCTATTGAGCCACCTCCAGGTGAATTCTTTGACATTCCCATGAATCAGGCACTAGCAGACTCTAGACACGCAGATGATCGGATGTGGTCCAGGGCGGTGCCGTCAGGGTCCTTTGTGGCACATTAGCCAGGTGTGCACATTCATGACTGTTTTCACCCTTGAACTTCCCCAGGTGGGAGCCCGGCCTCCAGGATCTGGTGGAAGCAAGAGACTAAATTTATTGAGCACCTACTCTGTACTAGGTTCTGCATTTCCCATAGATTATCTGAGGCCCCAAAGCCGGCAGGGTCCCTGCTAACTCCCCGCTTTACTGATGAGGACACTGAGGCTCAGGGGTTACGTAACTGAGCTTGGAGCGGTCGCTCAGGGCTGCTCTTCCTGCAGAACCACCCACCGCCCAGAGGAACGGGAGCCGGACTCACACACCTGACACCTTGTCTGCCCTTTGCAGGGAGAGGCAGGCTGGTTCGCCCCCCAATGAACTCTGGGAGCGAGGTGTCTAGGTCCCGGAACCCGCCCAGGTCTGGAGCAGGCTCCATCGTGCCGGCACTCCGTCCTGCCTGGTTTTACCTGTTCCCACGCCTCTGACCGAGGGAAGCAGCGGTCGGGTGCTTGTCGGGGGCTGTCCCAGTCACCTGGCTCCACGCCTGGGACGGAGGCATGTCCGCTCAGTGCACTTGATGTGGAGGCGCGGGAGTGGGCAAGAGCACGTTGCTAGGTAAACAAATGTTGTTCAGTGTAATAAGAAAATGAATCATCCAGCTTCTGCACTGGGCCCATTAGCACGCCTGTTACTTTTAAGTGAGTGATGGCCATGGTTGTTACATAACCGGAGCCCGTGTATGCAACGGACTAATAGTCTTCGTCTCTGTGCTTTACAGCAAGAAGATGAAGGTCTTAGAATCCTTGATCGGCATGATTCAGAAGTTCCCTTACGGTGACCCTACTTACGCCAACCTTCACGAAGACTTAGACAGAATTAGAGGGAAGTTTAAACAGGTTTGTCCACGTGTGTGTCTTTGGGGCGGGAATGGCGCAGGCCCGGGGTCACTGGACGGGTGGCCTGGGGGCTGTCTGGGCCGACGGGGGTCGGTGTGGACTTGCGTGGCGGAGGGAGAAGCTGCGGCTAGAGGCAGCCATGCTCCAACTGAGAGTCAAAATACACAAGATTATAAAAACCCTCTCTTCTCTTTTGTGTTTTCAGCTTTGTTCATTACTAAATGTTCAGCCGGACTTTAAAATCAGTGCGGAAGGTTCTGGACTTTCATTTTGAGGATGACAGATGAACAAAGATGAAACACGAAGGAACAGATGTCCGTATGCTAAGTGTTCCAAACCGCAATGAAAGGAAGACAATGATGGGGCGTTCCTTGTTCCGGGGGGAGGGCTCCTTCCCCGAGCGGGCCTGCCCGCGTCGCCTCGGTGCCCCCCGCCGGCCCGAGCCCGTCTGCCCTGCAGCCTGAGCGAGGCCCTGGCGGAGCCTCCTGCCTGCGCGGAGCGGCTGGCCTCACCGGTCCTGCCGGCGGGTCCCCCAGCCCGGCCTCGGCGAGCAGGAACCCTTTTACCGGCACGAGCGCCTCGGTTGCCATGTAGTGAGTGCACGGGGAGCGGTGACGTGTGCGGTGACATGGACTGAACCCTGGGACGGACCAGCACCTGCCCCCTCCCTGTTGTATGCGGTCCCTTCCGTGGCCCGCCAGGCGGGCCGTGCCCGTCCTCCAGGGGCGGGAGCGGAGGCCCGTGGCCCGGCTGAGAGGAGAGGCCAGCGGGACTTCGGAGCCGGTCGTGCTAGGTGTTCCGGGCGGGGCGGGCTTGGCGGCGTTCAGAGTGGTCCAGGGGGAGCGTGTTAAACTGGAGACAAAGCGATGGGCTCTGCTGGGCGCACCCTCCGGTGCAGGACCCTGCGGTCCTGGGGGTAGGAGTCCTCATGTCTGCTTCACGTGGAGGTATGCGCAGGGAGAGACCCGGCCAGTCCTCCCTGAGCTGAGCGTTTCCCCTCCCCGCCACGTGCCCAGGGGGATGGCATGCTGGCTCCCATCTGCCCGGCTGGAGGGAGTGTCTCTGAAAGCAGGGAGTCCCGCGAATAAAAAGGTGACCCAGTCTTAGACCTTCCGCAGTCTTGTGAACCCTCCTGCCGGGCGTGGGGACCGGGCTGGGGGTCCCTGCGGGGCTGAAGGCATCTTCTTCCCTCACTTGGTGCCCTTGCCGAGTGCTGAGAGGGGGAGGCAGACCTGAGTGCTGCCTGGCACTGCCTTCTGCTGGTCCTTGGGGCGCACACCCCACCAGGCTCTCCAGGTGGTGGGAGTCAGTTTCTGCTGCTTTCCTTGGTGGATTTTGTATCTTCTGTTACCTGCTTTTATAATGTATTATTTTTACAATTGGAGGGGGGAAAAATAAACGGTGTTTTAAAGCAAAAGGCCGTCTGGGACTATTGATAACTTGACACCCAGCCAGTACCCTCCTGGCGTTCTGGGATCTGGATGCAGAGGAAGGCACAGCGTCAGCCCCGGGCGGCGTTCTGCCCACCTGCCTCCCCGCACGGTCAGAAACTGAGTGGAACCCGTGATGCTTAGGCCAGTTCCCCTTGCCCCGGCCCAGCTGCATGCCAGCAGTTACTACTGACCCCTCCTGCCCTCACGTCCCTCTCCCTCCCCGTCTCAGGCTCAGCCTGTCCCATCCAGGTGTCAGGGTGAGTGTGGGCAGCCACTCGGTCCTCTGTTCCCATCACGCAGGGCTGGGCTGCCTCAGTGATCCTCAGGGTCTCCAGACACTGCACTGGACTGTGCCCGCCCAGCTCCTTGGAGAGCCAGACCGAGTTTCTAGGAAGCCTTGCTGCCGGCCAGGGGTCAGCACGCCCCTCTTCTGGCCTCTCGGGTCCTGTGATCAATGACACCGGCTCCGTGACTCATCCCCCCGGATCGCAAGCCAATTCCTCCATTCATCAAGGACCCGAATGACTGGGAATTGGGATCAATCACTGGCTTGTTAATCATAGTTTTTGATATCTCTAAATTACAGTGGTGCCGAAACCGGTTTGGCTCAGTGGTAGAGCGTCGGTCTGCGGACTGAAAGGTCCCGGGTTCGATTCCGGTCAAGGGCATGTACATTGGTTGCAGGCACATCCCCCGTGGGGGTTGTGCAGGAGGCAGCTGGTCGATGTTTCTCTCTCATCGACGTTTCTGGCTCTCTCTCTCTCTCTTCCTCTCTGTAAAAAATCAATAAAATATATTTAAAAATAAATAAATAAATTACAGTGGTGTTTTGAGGGTCATGCTGAGGTCACGTGAAAACCCATAAAGTAGTTGTGCAATGGTCACCTCCTCCAGGAAGCCGTCCCTGCCCTCTTCCCACTCCCTCATTCCCCAGCTCCGCGAAGACAGACGCACAGAGGAAGGACGGCCATGAGGACACGGAGGCCATGACCAGAGCAATGAGCTATGAGCCAGGGACGGGGGGAGAGTGCCCGCAGCCACCAGAGCTGGGGGGGGGGGCAGGAGCCGACCCCTTGGTTTCAGACGTTCACCCTGTGAGAACTGCTGCTGCTGGAAGCCCCCCCCTCTCCCCCCCCATCTGTGGGCATCTGCTTGGGTAGCCCTGGGACCCTGCCCAGGCCCCTTTCTCTGCCTGGCTGCGGGCGCGCGGCGTGGGGTGGAGTCAGATGCAGGCTTTGTGCGTTTTCAAGCCCACTTTTGAGGACCGTGTGCTCTTTCTTCTCTGAGGAGCCAAGGGCTGACAGGAGGGCAGGCTCTCGAGACCGCCCTGGCCCCGGGCGCAGTTCCCGGCCGTGTGACCCTGGCTCGGTGACCTCGCCTCTCATCTACAACAGGGACCAGAAAGCCAACACCCTCAGCCCATCCTCAGCCTGCTGCCCGTTGGGCAGAGAAGGCTTGCCTGGCCGCAGCCATGCCCCTTCCTGTGCCATCGCCCGCGGTGCTTCTGCTCAGCGGCTGAGGTTGGACAGAGACCGGTGGCCAGTCTGCTGGAAAAGGGGAGAGATACACCTGGGGGAAGGTGGTCACCCAAGGGTCCACTCACTGGCGTGCCCCGGGCTTCTGCCTACCCTGGAGGGTTGTACCAAGATTTAGGGAGAAACCTGACATTGGACACTTAACGTGTGCCTGGTGCCAGCCTGTGCTCAGTGGACGTGAGCAGTTCTCTTCTCGCGATGGAAGCTGGGAAGGCAGGGGCCCTCACACACACGGACGGCCCAGCTTCAGCGTGGGGGTCCCAGGGTCAGAGCACTGGGCCCTCAGCAGCCTGTGGTGGAGACTCGTCCCAGCTGCCTTCGCTGAGATTGAAAAGGCTGAAAGGGATTTATGGTGGCTGTGGTCTTTGAAATGCTCAGGGCTGACGGCAGCGACGGTGGAGGCTGCAGAGTTCTCTTCCCCGCCCTCCTCCAGAGCGGCGGGGACCGTGCCCCCGGATGTGGGCCTCAAGGCCCGAGCCCGGAGCTGCCCGCCCCCCCGCCCCCTGGCTATTGTGTGCTGGGCCCTGGTGTGGCTCAGGGCTGGGGGCCAGCGCCGGGACTGTGGGAACGGATTAGAGGCCCTGCTCTGCTTCCCCTCAGTGTAAACCTGATCAAAGACATTCCTGGGATGACAGAGGCCTGTGTGCTTAGAGGCTGCCCAGCGAGCGGGGCCCCCTCGCAGCAGAGCCCGCTGGCTGCCGCCGGGATGGATGGCCTGCAGGACGGGCTGAGGGGTGTGGGGAGCACGGCCTGCACCGCCCCCAGGGCCTCACTCTGTGATCTCAGCCGGGGCTGCCTGCTCTGGGGCCCCACCTCTCCCCTCCGCGGCCCCAGCAAGGAACTGTCTGTCCTTATCTCGTAGCTCTGCTGGGCTCTGGGGCCTTCTGGTTCTGCTGGGCCCCTGCCCCCACCTCCTCACAAGGCTGGGTCTATCCTCCCCCCACCCCCCGCCGGCTGGGTCAGGCAGGGCTGCCTCTCTCTCTGACTCAGAGCATCTGGGTGACCTGTGGGAACACTCGCGCCCCTTCCATTCGGCTCCCACTTCTCAGCACTCACTGTGTTTGCCAGGCTGGCTTTGGGGCAGAGAGCATCAGCAGGACGCCTGTCCTGAGGCTCACACCCCGGGCACACGTGGTGGGGTCTGGCAGGAGTCTGGGGCGGGGGAGGGGCGGAAACAGGCTAGGGGAGATGGAGGAGGGGGAGATGGGGAGGAAGGGGGGGAGAAGGGCCAGGTGTCAGGACCTTGGATGGAGCCAGAGGAGCCAGCAGCCCCGGGAGGGGTGAGCCGAGGGTGGCATGGCCGCCTGAGGCCGAGAGCTGGGGTGGAGGCCGGGCAGGCCCAGGTGAGGGCAGTGACGTCCCTAACAGTTCAGTTTTTATTTCCGCCGTAGGCACGGGCCTTCACTGCCATCTCTGAGTGTGCGCGGGCACCCGAGGGGCTGTGGGTGGCTTGAGAGGACAGCTCAAGGCATCACCCAGAGGGAGAGCCTTCTAGACACCTCCCTTGGGGGCTTCCCAGAGGAGCCTGGGCCACGGGGGACCTGGGACCCCCCTTGCTCGGCCCAGACCTCTGTGCTTTCAGTTGTACAGCCCGTGGGGGACTGTGTCTGGGTCATGGCTCTGCTTTCCACTCTGTCCACCAGGCAGCCCTCACCCACCATCTGCACAGGGACACTGACTGCCACGCGTCGCAGCCCAGCCCCAGGCATTCTCCCCCTCCCCTACCCCCCTTCCCTTCCTGCACAGGGCAGGGCGCTCTCCCTCTCCCTCTCCCGCTCCCTGTTCTTGCTGGAACTCAACACTCAGACTGTTGCCCCTCCCCCAGGACTGCTCCTCAACATGACCCGGGCCCTGGTGGTGTCGCAGCCTCTGCTCAGCCCCCTGCACACATGTGGAGGCCACAGATGTCCCCGGGCCCCCTGCACCGACACGCCGAGCTCGTCCTGGGCTGAGCCGCCATGATGGCGTGGACGGGCCTGGCCTTCAAGGGGCCTTCTCTGGATTCGACTGTCCCTTGGTCCCCTGCCACATGGGATCCCCTCTGGAGCACCCCGCAGGCTCCTGAGGCAGCCTCGCCTCATGTCCCTTCCCACCTCCTCCCAGAAGTCCCAGTGTCCTGCCAGCCTCACGGGTGCCTCACAGGGCTCACAGGCTGCAGTGAGTTGACAAGTAGTGACATCCCTGAATTATCTGACAGCCCCGGGGCAAGGACACACCGGGGACCCCCCTCTGGGAAGCTGGGACCCTGGCCTGCGGACACCTGCCCAGGGCGCCGAAACCCAGGTAGCTGCCACAGGTGTCCACCAGGCCTCCCCATCGACAGTCCGTGTGAACGGCCACCAGAACGCAGCCTGGACACACGGTGTGCTCTCCAGGAGCCTGGGGCCTCGGGACCAGGACTCAGAGCCAGCAGCCATTTGCTCCAGGGGAGGGCTAGCAAAGGCTGGATCCGTTTTTCCTCCCATCTGCAGACAGCCTGGGAGGGCGAACTGCAGGCTCACCAGGCAGTCATGTCGCCTGGCCAGGAGCAATCGCTTCCCTAAAGTCTTCTCTGGGCCCAAGTGCCCCCCCCCCCCTCCCCCCCCCCCCCCCCCCCCCCCCGCACTGTGAGCGCTTCACCCGTTCCTGGATCACTGGCGTCAGCTGGCAACATCAGACGTTTCTGGTTGTCACACTGGGGAGGTGCCATCACCGGTGGGTAGTGCTCAGGACTGCCCCCCTCCCTGCCCCAACGGAGGACCCGGCATCCTGCCTGCCCGCCACCCCCAGCCCAGGAACCCTGTGCCCAGGCTCCGTGCCCCCGGCTCCCCGCTGCCCCAGGAAAGACACAACCCTGGGGTTTTTACTAACTTTATTTCTAGACTTTTCATGTTTGTCTTGTTTTCCGCCGGAAACGTGCTGGTTACATGTCCATGCTGGGAAACACCGCCATGTGCAACCGAAAACCACACACAGACCGGGTGCCCACCCGCCAGACCCTCACAGACTCAATGGTGCTCCCGACCTCAGGGACCCGGTTTGGTTCAGAGACAGAGGCTGCAGCCAGGAGAGGTGAGGGAAGCGGACCTCACAGCTCACGGCCATCCCTCCGGGCAGGGCCACCGAGGGCGCACGTTCTTTTGGTTCGGCAGCACGCTAGGCAGCGCGGGCACACGGCAACACACGGGCTGGCTTCGGCGAGACCTGCAGCCTCTTTAGAGTTGGCATCACGCGGCCCTGAAAAGGACAGAGATCGCGGGGACACGACGCCTTCCAGTGCCCGGAAACAGCGACTCAGAGGCCGGGGCCAGTCCAGGGCACAGCACCACCACGGCACACAAGACAGACTTGTTACAACAACAATAATAATAATAATAATAATGCAGGTTTCATAGCTATATGCAAAACAACACAGCCATCAAAGCTACTAGGATGGTCAATGCTAGGGCAGATGGAGAGTCCAGCATGACAGGCGCAGGGAAGGACGTGGACACGGACACTGGCTGGTCCTCAGACGCCGGGCGGCCGCCCGCACGCAACCCGGCACCCGTCCCCACCAGGCCTGTTGGGGATCTCGGCCGAGTGTCTGTTTGCCGAAGCAGGCGGCCTCGGGCAGGATGGGGGCCGGACTGCCGGTCTACACATGGCTAAATGAAGCATGAGGTATCGTGGAACGGGGGCCTTTTTGGAATAGAGCAGTAATCACATTACATCAAAATTGATCACATTAAAGAAAAAAAAAAAAAACTACACACAAAAAAAAGGCATCCGTAATACATTTTTTTTCTACGAGGAAATGAAAACTCGAACATGGCAGTAATATGACATCATAAAACAGAAAAACTGATCCTCCGATAGCAGCAAAACAATGTGAGAGAGACAGAGAAGCGTGGTGAGTCTGTTTCCGAGCACGCCGGGAAGTCATCCATAGCAGCGAATAAGAAACGGGGTGCGCAGCCTGTCCCTCTGTGGTCCCTCCCGCACTTCTGCCCTCACATCCTCTCCTCCTCCCTCCGCACTCCCCACTTAGTCATTGCTCCCAGGTCCACAGCCAAGATGTGCATTGTCTACCGGTTGCTACCATTTCTTGAAAGGAGGGGTGGGCATGGGACTACGCTGAAACAGCTTGATTGGGGGACCCTAACTCTCCTGGGCCTGATGCCTCTCAGATTGGTTCAGGCTGGATCAACGTTTTTTTTGTTTTTTTTTTCTTCCTGGGGAATTGCCCCCTTCTCTAAGTGGTATCGAGCCCGCCCCGGAAAGGCAGCGGGCTGTGTGTTTGAATCAGGGGAGAGTGCATCACTCGAGAAATCATACTGGCCTTACGGGCATCCTCTGCAATAAATACTCCTTTTAGCCTTAACTATAAATTACATATTTTAGTGTTTAAAAACCTCCCTAACCCTTACACTACATGTCCTTTAGGCAAACCTTTCAGGCTCCCTGCCTTCGGACGCCGGTTGGCACCAAGGAACCTCTCTACGGGGAAAAGGAACGTCGCATCCTGGCTACGGGGGAACGCACACCCTCTCCTTGGCTGGACCCTCGCCTCCCGCAACACCCCCTGGCGACCTAGCGATCCCAACCATTCCACTGGGAACCACCCCCCTCCTCCACCCACGAACGAGAGACCTTCCCTAGAACTGCCGGACCCAAAGTGCTTTGAAATGGAACGGGTTTCAGAACGTCGAGAAGGAGACGAAACGAGCGAGAGCTGTGGGTTCCGCCTGGATCTGAGCAGGCTGCAGGCCTGGTTGGCCGGCAGCGTCTCCTCAAACAGTGAGCTACAAAAATACGAGGATTAAAAAAATAGAATCTGTGACGCTGCTACTTCGGCTTCTCTCTTTAAGAGCGTGCGCGCTGGCCGGTGCCCGACAACCCGCTCAGTGGCCGGTCCACGGGGGAGAGGATTAGCACTCGGTGAAGGTCGGCGACACTATTCTACCCGACAGGTTACGTCAGCCGTGGACAAGGTGAAGAGGTTACACGCCTACCTACGGAATAAACACGCACCAATGACTTATAAAGTGACTACATGCATGAGCAAGCGGGATACGGGATGCCTACCGCGCCTTAAAGCTGCGCTCCTCGGGGGAGCACAAGAATACATCTTTCTATCTAAAAATCCCTTCCTCTAACAATGGTTTGTCGCATTTTTTTTTTTAAAGAACATTTTTATGCTTTAAACATATCCATCGCACCTGAGCCCCCCTGCAGAACTCGCTCCTTGTGTTAAAACCTACCCTTATAACGCAGACACACACAGTCCTACGCAACTAAGTCGATTATGGGCCGGAGCGTCCTCTATGTTGGTAGCACAACCCTCCTCCCCACCAGAGCTTGGGGTTATGCAGCTACTTCTTTTTTTTTTTTTTCTGAACTTTTCTTTTAAAGACAGTTTGGGGTACTTTCTTTTTTCTCTTGCTTAACTCAGAGATAGAGAGGAGAAAGAGCAAAGGAAAAAAAAAAAAAAAAAAAAACAGGAAGAAGTTTTCCCTCTGGCGCGGCCATCCGGGAGGGACGCGTCCAGCAGGGGAGCCCCGGGGCGGCCCTCCCTCCGCCAGCCCCTCAGATGTTCACATCGCGCACGTCGGTGGGTGTGCAGGCCAGGTCCGCCTCCTCCTCCTCCTCCTTGGGGCCCAGGCTCTGCTTGGCCTGGCGCAGGCTGGCCTCCAGCAGGGCTTCGATCTGCTCCTGGCAGGCCCGGAGGCAGTCCTAGGGGGCAGGCGGCAGGGGGACAGGGCCTCAGAAGGAGGCCCACAGGGAAGAAGGCCCAGCCCCCAAACACCATGACCCGGATGGTGATTAGCATAGCAGAGGCTGACCTGAAGTTGCTGCCCCCCCCCCCCCCCCACCCACCGAGAGCTGGTCCCCCAAACCCCAGGACAGACCCTCATGGGCTGCCAGCCTGAGGAGCCCACATGCCAGCTGGCCAGTGATGGCTCCACTCAGGACTGAGGACCACAGGGCTGCTGGCCATGGATGCGCCTGTCCCCCGCCCCTCCCCTCCCCCGCCTGTCCCTGTGTCCCCAGCAGCAGGGCCCGGCCTCTCGCTGGAATCCCTCTGCTGGGCTCTGGGCTCTGGCCCCGCCACTGTCTGAGGTGAATCCAGCCATTCCATCCGGGGCAGGGAGGCCCTCTGAGCCCTGCTTTTTGGACTGAACCTCTGCCTCCTGCGGTGAACGGCCATTAAAGGCATTAAGCCGTGCATGACTGCGAATGACTTGGGTGGCCTGGGGCTCCTTATGCTGTTCAGCCTGCATCCTGGAGGGGCCCTGGCCTTGTGTGGTGCCCACCCGGACCTCAGCCCCGACCTGTGATGGGCTGACTTTGGTCCCTGAGGCCCAGCTTTGGAGAAAGGCGGGCAACCCAGGTGGGCTTCACCCCCCTCCACCCCGCCCACCCTATTGGTTAGTGGCATTTCTAGTGAGCACGCTCCCCCCCTGCAGCTTGGCTACTGGAGAGTGAAGTGAGCATGAGGCAGAGGGGAGTCTGCCTCTATAGACAAGAACGGTCCTCTGGGAACAGTCTATTGACCTGGTCCGGGGTCAAGGCGGTCACTCACTCCCACCAAACCGCTCTGGTCTAATTTGGTAAATGCCATAAACCCTTGTCGTTGTTATTTTAATTCCTTAAGGAAAGCAGTAAAGTGGGGACGAAACAATGGCGTTTTTAAAGACAGCACCGCCGCCTCTGGCTCTGACTTGCAGCGGCAGCTCCCCGCGCCCACGGTCATGACCTCAGACCCCACAGGAGCCCTTTCTTGGCAGCTGTTTACTGGCATCCACACTGTGGCCGGACAAATCCGCCCGGGCCCACTGCACACCCGTGAGGGCATGTGCCACTGCCGGCAGCCCCTCTTCCCAGGCCTCGGTGGCCCCTGAGGGCCCGTCTGCGAGTTCTGGGAGATGCAGCTGGCACTGTCCGCCTGAGACTGGTCCTGTGCCCCCCCCCGCCCATCTTCGGGGGCCTCGGCACTAGTCAGAGCATTCCCCTGGAGCCAACTGTGGCTGCAGCACCCAGCGCTGGGCACCTCCTCCCCGAGACCAGCAGGTCCGCCCCTGCCCGTGCGGGAGGGGTGCCCGGCCACTTACCAGGTCACACTTGATCAGTGTGGAGAGGAATCGCGTGAGGCGGTGATAGGACAGGAAGCTGTTGGAGCTTCCCAGGTGCAGGCCTTGCACTGCGGCCACCACGCTCCCGGCAGCCACCATGGAGGGCGGGTTGGAAATGAACTTCACGTCTGCAGCAGAGGGAGAGGCAAGGGGCGGGGCGTGGGGACGCTGCAGGATCCCTGTGACCTGTACCCTTGTCACAGGGCCTGTCCCAGCAAACGGGCCTGGCTGAGGAAGTGTGGGCGTCCCTGCCACCCAGCACCTTTCCCGCCTGGGCACAGGAAAGGCCCTGGGGCTCCCGAGGTGCCTAAGGCGGGAGCTGGTGCCTTCACTCACTAACGAAGGCCAGAAGCAGCCCTAGCCAGTGCCACCGTCTGAGCAGCCAGCAGAGGCCCGGCCAGGGCACCCTGTGACAGCGAACACCCCCATCTGGTCCTTTCCGCACGAGCCTTGTGAACACGGAGCCCGTTTGCACAAGTGAAAGATGACAGAACCCACCAGGAGCAGAGGCGTCGCCTCTCAGGGCTGGAGGCCTGCCATCCTCCAGAACGGCAGTCCCCAGCGCGGGGCACACGCCCGTGGGGCGACTGGAGAAGGAGTTACTCACAGTGAACCTTTGGCATTTCCTGTGGTTCTAGGGGCCTCGTGTACAACATATAAACATATATTGTGACATGTCTATGCATTTCAGTTCTATTCTATGTTTTGAAACGTTGCTGTTTTTTTTTTTCATATCACTTCATATTACTTTTTTAAATAATTTCTTAGTGATTTCTTCCTCAGTAGGTCGATTCCGGTCAAGGGCACGTACCTGGTTGCAGGTTCCACAGCCCTGGTCAGAGTGAGTGTAGGAGGCAACCAATCGAGGTGTCTCTTTCACACCGATGTCTATCCGTCTCTCCCTCTCCCTTCCACTCTCTCTAAAAATCAATGGAAAAATATCCTCGGGTGAAGACTAACCACAAAGAAAAAAAAAGAAGGGGGGGGAGCTCCCGTGTACATGCACGTACACGTTTGGAAGAGCTGGGCGGTGGCGTGTGCACACGTGCAGGGACTCGGGAAGCCTGGTGTCCGGGTGTAGGGAGAGCAGAGCCCCCCCCTCCCCCATGGCGCCTTTCAGGGGGGGCCCTTGCTCACGCCCACCTCACATAAGCTGTTGGTTTTTGAGCTCAATGACGTCACTCCCTTCTGAGAGGCCCCTTTGTGACCAAGAGCACGACGGCATCTCAGTCACCCCCAAACTGTGGGGGCACAGTGGGGACCAGGGCCTGAGCATCTTCCGAGGGCCCGGCTGGCGGCTGCTCCCTCGGGCCCCGCCCTGGAGTGAACGTTTGCAGCGACCTGGATCCCCGCAGGCATCGGAGCAGAAGGCGGGGGGGGGGGGGGGGGGGGCCCTGCTGGGCCCCGTGTGGGCAGCTTGGGAGCTGGACCAGAGCCAGTTTGCAGACTGTGTGCCAGGGCTGCTTCCCTCACTGCCAGCACCCGCAGGCCACACCCCCCGCGGCCCGCAGATCTGGGGAGAGGGGGAGCTCCAGGCTGCCCCAGCTACCCTGGGGGGAGGGTGTGCAAGAACCAGTCCTTGTGTGATCTCCAGGAAACTTGCTATTTTCCCAAACAACTTTCAGCTCCATAAAAGGCAGCCTGGGAGTCTCCGGAGGCCCCTCCCAGAGGCTCCCCACCCCTGCCCGAGGGCCAGAGCGGGAGGCCTGGGGAGGGGGCGCCCGGGCTGGGCCGTCCAGGCCAGCAGCGTGCTTGGCTTCTCCTCCTGGGCCCCCATGCCTCACTTGGAAGGACTCGGAGGGGGGCGGAGCCCTGCGGAATCTTCCCAGCTCTTGCCTAACCCAGAAATACCAGCCACCAGGGCGCCCGGACATCAGGAGGGTGCAAGGAGTTGCCAGGCTGGGGGCTCTGCCACGTGGGGGTGGGGAAGACACCGGAGGCCAGCCTCCCCCTCTGATGAAGTGTGGCCCTCAGCGTAAGTCCCAAAGAGATGACGTGGGATGGGGCCTGCGTCCTACAGTCAGGGTCTCCAGGGAGAACAGGAAGCAGTCACGGGGTGTGTGTGTGTGTGTGTGTGTGTGTCAGGATCGGGGCTGGGGGAAGCTGGAGGCAGCACTGTGTGTGTCTGTGTGTGTGTGTCCCCACCCTCGGTTTTGCAAGGCTGGCTGTGGCTGGGATCTGGGGCCCGGGCAGGGAATGTTGCCCCCTGCCGTCAACCACAGCAGCAGGCCGCTCCAAAGCTCCTCCCAGGCTCGGCTGAGGCGCCCCTAATAGGGCCTCAGGGCGGGCCGAGCTGGCTGCCCGAGCACGTGGTGCAGGCGCTGGCGGCCAGCCGGGCTCCCCACCCCTGTAGGCGCCCCTGGCAGGTGGCCCAACTCGGGAGAGGCCAGAAGGGGGCCCCAGCGCAGACTCCTTGAGGACATAGGAAAGGACTGGAGAGAGAGGGGGAGAAGCAGGAGGGGGGAAGGGAGGGGAAGAAAGGGAGGGAGCAGAAACCAAGGCAGCTGGACACAGGCAGACAGCCACTCAGCCCCGGGAGGACAACCCCTCCCCCCCACCAGGCTCACCTACAGGCCAAGCCCTCTGCTCAACAGAACAGGGGAAGAGGAGCACTTCTGAGAACAGAAGGGGCCTGGTGGGGAAACGGAGGCAGATGGCAAGAAGCCCGCCGGGAGCACCCAGGGAGATCAGGCCGGCCAGCCAGCCAGCCTACCTGTGGCACACAGGGCGACAAAGGTCTGCGCGTGTTTGCGGATGATCTGCTTGTTGACCTCGGCCACCGGCATCTTGGAGAGGAAGTGCTCAATGAAATCGTGGGGGGTCATGGCCGCCAGGTTCCACTTGAGCTTATTCACCAGCACCATCTCCATTTGCTGTGGAAACGGGTGACCAAACATGAAAAGTGCAGGGAGATTCCCGGGAGGTGATGGGGGGAGGGGGAGGGAGTGGGACCAGGGTTTTGGAGAGAAGTGATGGGGATCTGGGGACCCAGGACATGGGGGACAGCATGCAATCCCAGATTTTAAAAAAAGCGAATGTGACGCGTGAAAAGGCTCCTGCTGATTATTATTCAGATGACAGTCCACACGTGGCGACAAAAAAGATCTCCCGCACCAGGAACGCACGCAAGACCTTGTCCTTAGCGCGCGCTGCCCACGCCGTGGCCGCTAGAGGGCGCGCGCCGCCCATTTTTGGGCCGCGCTAGGGATTCAGCCGCGTGGAGAGTCGAAGCAAAAATGAGGCGGGGGGGGGGGGCGGCGGCGGGGATGGGGGGCCGCGGGGTTCGGGGTAGCAGGGTCTCCCGTCCTCCCCACCCCCCGGGGTCCTGTGGCTAGCGGGGAGTCGGGAGGCGGCGGGGTTACCAGCAGCTCCTCGGGCTGGATGGAGTGGTCAGTGTAGATGCACAGCTTCTCCGCCGTCAGGGGGACGGTCTCCTTCATCTTCGAGGCCACGAACATGCAGGCGGCGCCCAGCAGCTGCAGGCGGCCCTTGGGCAGGGGCTCCAGCGACAGGAAGCGGTCCAGGTAGTTCATGGCCAGCGGGAACACCTCCTCCTCGCACTTCTGCTCCTCGCAGACCTGCTGGAGGGCAGGGACTGTCATTGCCGGCGCCCCAGGGACCCCGTGCGTGGACCCCGCGCCCCCTACCCGGCTCGTGGGTTTCTGGGCGCACGGAGGGCCGGGGAGGGGGCGGCAGACGCTCCCGTTGATGCGCTGCCTCCTCCCCCGAGTGTCCCCGACACCCAGCGACTGAATGAAACTGAAAGGGAAAGTCCTCGGAAGCCGGGCCCGGCGGGAGCGGGCCCGGCGGGGCGGCGTGCGCGGTGTGCGGGCGGCCGGCCCCGGGGACCCTGGCCCCGGTGGGTGCTCGGGGCCCCGCCCAGGCCAGGGTCGCATCCGATGAGGTGTGGGGCCGGGGGGCTGGGCGCCACGCTCGCAGCGCCTGCGAGACACAAAGGTGGCGTCCCAGGCTGCCGAGCCGCATTTCCCCAGACGTCATCTTTTCAAAAAATATTTTAAAATATAAAAAAAATACCTGGGTGCATAAAAAATACCTGAAAATAACCCCGGGGCGGCCCTCTACCCGAGCCGGGGGTCGGGAGCTCGTTGCAGGCTCCGGGGAGATCCCCAGGAATTCAAAACCAGGCACCCCCCCCTCCCTGGGCGCGGGCACCGCTTCTCTCTCTCGCAAGGGCACCACGCCGCACTTAAAAATAAAAAAAAAAAAATACTTGTGGGTTCCTCAAAGTCTGAAAATGTGACCCGAGCCTCTGGCTCGCTCCAGACAGATCCCCCAAGCGGAGACCCCTGCGGACGAGGGTCCGTCCGCAGAGTCTTGGGGGCCACGCGACCTTGCAGTCCGGTGTGCTCGCCGGCCCAGGCTGGCCGTGCAGGGCACCCCGGGACTTGCTGCTTGAACAAAGAGCCCCCCCTTCCCCAGTGGGGTCCCCCCCACCATACCCGCGCTCGGTCCCCGCACCCCTCCCACCAGTTTTTGGCTACCGCAGGGCCCCTAGCCGCGGCCCCAGCGCCTGGCCGACTGTTCCCCTCCCCCATCCCGCCCCCAATTATTAATAAACTTTTAGCTTTGCAATAAAAGAACAAAGATGGCGCATAATACTGGCACGGGCGGCCCATGCATACGTGTCCCAGAATATTCATTTAAAAAATCAAATACGCGCCCCTCTCCCCACGAAGCTGGCGGCTCCGCGCAGCCGGGAGAGGAGGCGCAGCGGGGCCACCAAGGGCGCCCAACCTGCCCCCCGCCCGCACCCTCTGGCCAACTGGGGTGCGCCTGGCACTGGCTTTCCCCAGGGGACCCCTCGCCGGCCGCTCCCCTCCCCCCAGGAAAAGGTATTTCTAACGCCCCCTCGCCTTCCTAGTAAAAAAAAAAAAAAAATGCCCGCAACATCTCTACATTCTGAAAATAGGATTCCTAGCAGCAGCCCCGGCAAACTTCAAAGTTGGAGTGGGAGGAGAGGGGCCAAGAGACGTGAGTGTGGGCGACAGGCTGCGGGGGTCTCAGGAGAGCCGCCCCGGTCCGCACCTCCAGCATCCAGGTGGCCACGACCTTCCGCATGGCCGGCAGGATCTCCTTCTGCACGCACTTGAAGTAGGACACGGAGGGCGCGCACGCCTCCTCCGCCTTGAGCATGGCCCGCAGCACCCGGTCGTTGAGGAGGTTGGCATCGGGGTACGCGCGGCGGATGGTGTCCACCTCGCAGCACAGGAGCTGGTGTGCCATGGCTGGGGCTCTCCGGGTGGCCTGGGGCGGGCGGTGGGTCGGGGGGTCGCTGTGCGCTCGGCTCCGGGCTCCTGCGCGCCGCGCTCCTGCCTCCTGCGAGCTCCTCTGCCCTTCGCCGCCGGAGCGCGCGGATGCTGCTGCTCGCTGCTGCTGCGCCGACAGCCCTCTGGAGGCTCCAGGACTTTGCAACTTCCAACAAAACTCCCCTATAGCCGGTGTGACGTTACTGTTGTTCCGAGATCAAAGCCGCGCGGAGAATGGGAGGGAGGGGGCGGGGGCGGGCTCAGGGGGAGGGGGCGCGGGCGCGGGCGCGGAGCGCGGGGGAGCGGCGAGGGGCTGAGTCCCGCAGCCCAGTGGCCCCCGAAGCCCGGTTTTCATAGAAATGCAAATCGCCCCGGGGCAGCCTTTCTCCCCGCCGCCGGGGAAGAGGGGTGCAAGGGGGGCTGTTCTCCCGGAATGGGCCCCCTGGGATTTTTGGGGGTGGGGTGGGGTGGAGGTGGTTCTGCAGAGGGGGACAGCTAGGAGGGGCGGGCGGGCCACACGCAGCCGGGGCGGGGGGAGGGGGAAGACCACGTGGAAGGGGGCTTCTGGGGCTCGGCGACACCCTGTATGGGAGCCGGGAGAATGGGCGCGCTTCCGAGAGCGCCACGAGGCACCCACGGGCGGAGCGGCGGCCGAGGAATCTCAGCGCCCGCATCTCCTTTCATTTTCATTAACACGTGTAGGTTTCAGGAACCATTTAACATGCAGGGACACCGGGCAGAGAGCCCCGCAAGCCGCCTGCAGGCTTCGTTCCGGTGCACGGGGGCGGAGGGGGTCGTTGCATGTGCCTGGGGGTGGGGTGCGGGACACACTGAACGTTTAAGAGATTTCAGCCTAGCGTGCGCTCGCTCGAGAAAAATAAAATAAAATAAATGCCCGAAAATTCCAGCAGCAGCCCAAGATGGTGGCCAGCATTTCCCTCATCCTGTCGTCCTCGCCTGGGGGATCCGCGGGCTGTCTCCCTACCTGGGCCAATCCGTCCTTGCGGGGGTCCCCAAAACCCAACCCACCCAACCCGACAATTTAACTGTTAGAAAAACACCCTTTATAGAAGGCAGCAAAGCAGGGGTCTCTGTCCGGCTCATTTTAAAATGAAGAAGTAAAATAAATCCCTGGAAATATCAGTCGCTTCTCTGTCTGGGACAAGACCACCGGAAGCTCCCTAATTGGTTCTGTTTGGGGGGGGGGGGCGGAGGGTGCACGCCTTTTCACCATCATCTGCGCTGGGACTGCATTCGGGAGCCCCAAGGGGGTGGCAGGGGCCAATAAAAAATAAGAACAATTATAAGTTAAAGAAATGGGTGTACTGACCTGATGGTTTTTTAACAAAAAAATCTATTCCATGTTCGTGGTTACAGGAGAGGGTCCTCAATATGATCACAAAATTTAAGATATATAAAAGAATACATAAAGTGCTTTATTGTTAGATTCCGTCTTTATGTGTTTTTTTTTTTTTAACCATAGGGACATTTTACCAAATCTTAACATTAAAAAAAAAAGTTTTACACATTACCTGCCCCAAATTAAGAAAACTGTTCATTTACTTTCCTGTGTCATCAAACCACTGTATCCCCTAAAACAGTCAAGGCTCAAAGAAAAAGGACAAAAAAAAAAAAAAAAAAAAAAAAAAAGGGACCCCTCCCTTCGCAAGGGGGCCCGCACCAAGGCAAGACACCCCCTCTTTTGGGGCCGATTCGTCCGGCGTTCCCCTCCCCCCGCCGGGATTTAGGGTCCCAAATACTCGGGGTCCAGGACGGTCATGATCCCCGGGCTCACGCCTGGGCAACCGTGGGTGGCCCGGGCGGGGAGCGCCCACCGCGCGTCGCCCTCCCGCGGCACCCACGCCCGCGTTGGCGCGGGGTGCCCAGGAGCCTCGCAGCATCCGCCCGCGCACGAGGGCGGCCGGGCTGCTTTTCATTCATAAAATTCCGCCCCGGTGGCCGCCCGGGTGATTTATGAGGCTGCGCGCTATCTCCGGGCGGCTCCCGTCCTGGGGTCCCGGGGTCCGAGCCCCGCGGGCACCCCCCTGGCCGGCCCGAGGCGGGCCAGCGACGGCCAGGGCGGCGGGCCATACAGAGGTTCGCCCACTCCGGCAAAATGGGCTCCCGGTCCTGGAGGGAGCTCCCCCCACCTCCCCGCCACCCCCCCACCCGGGAGCGAGGCAGAGGAAACTGGAATTAGCATGAGCCAATGGGGGTGCGGCGCTGTTACTAGGCGGACCAGGCAGATCTCAACAAGGAACTCCGTTGAGCTCCCCGCTCAGGGACGGGCGCAAAAGTGCAAGCCCGGCCGCCGGGCGTGGAGACAGAGCCGTCCAGGAACCCGCGGGGGAGGCGCTGGAATGTGGGGCCGGGCGAGGAGCGCCCGCCGCCCAGCCCCCACCGGGGAGCTCAGATCTGCGTTCCCCAGAACTCCCGAGGGGGCCCCAAAACCGGGGGCCCTTGGAGGCTGCTCCTTCTAGGAGAGCAGAGGAGGCATTTTTTTTTTTAATTTTAACTTTGTTTTTTCTTAACAGAAAAGTAACTTTAAAAACGTTCCGGTTGCAGTTTAATTTTGCATTGCCTTAAAAAAAAAAAAAAGAAAAAGAAAAAGAAGAAAAAAACCACCCCGAAGCAGGAACTGCGAATTCTGGGCTCATTGAAAGTGCTCTGCTCTCATTTCTCGGTGACCATGTGTAGACAAAAGGCTGATAGCCCCATCGCAGGGACACCACGTTGGTTCGGAAGGAAATCTAAAAGTAACTTCAATCCCTTCTCGCTTTCCCCCGGCCCCTGGCCCCCAGCCGGGGTGACGGCGGAGGGGCGGACGGTTGGCCTCCAGAGGGCGAATTCCGCCGCGAGCGCGCTCGCCACCGTCCCTGGCGGCGGTGGGAACTCCATTCAGGCGGGGGAGGGCGCGCTCATTCAGGAACCGAGCGGCGCCGACCTTGGCCAGCTCCGCGGCTGCGCGCGGCTCCGCGGGGGGAGGGGGGGGGGCTCTGAGGAGGGGGTGCAGGGCCCGGAGGAGATCTCCCACGGGTGCTGACCTCCGGCACCCGCTTTCCCCCCCGGGAGGACAGGAGTGGAGGGTGCGGCGTTCCCAGGTGGGGTCACCTGCAGCCGCATACCTGCGGCGACTTGAAAGGACTTGGCTCCAGTTCCGCGAGTTTTTCATTGTTAAGCCCTTAAGGAGCCCTAGAAAAACGCTTCCGAATGAGGGCCGCGGAGTTCCGGAGGCGCCCGGGCTCCCCTTCCCCCAAGGGGCTGTTGGCTTTGGGGGCGCGCATGGCGGTCCAAGTGCTGCGGTGGCTCCGCCGGGGCCGCGCAGGGCGGACCCGGACCCGCGGCGCCCCGAGGCTGCGGTCCCCGGCCCGGGCGCTGACCCGGGGCAGCCACCAGCTGGGCGCGGGGGCAGCCGCGCGTTCCTGTCCCTGACCCATTCATTTCAGCCACACACGGACCAATCCCCTCCTCCGAGCCCCAGTGGGGTAGGTGTGGCAGGATGCGGATGGGGCACCCCTTTCCCACCTCTGGAGGCCTCAGGCGAGGCGTGCGTGGGGGCTTGAAAAGCAAACCCCAAGGTGTGGGAGGAGGCTGGCTCCCCCTGCCTCTGGGATCCATAGGGAGGAGGTGAGAAGAGATTCTAACTCCTGGATCTGCGCCCCTCGAAGCGCATGGCCTGGTACCCTGAGCAGCATGCAACACCAAGCGCACGAGGAATGTCCCGGCCTCCTGGCTCAGGCCCTGGCCAGGGGCTGACCAGGTGCCGTGGAGGGAAAAGATAGCCACCTCCAACTAAGGCTGATCCGGGGGTGATGCCCTAGTAAGTTATGTCCTCTTGTCTCCCTTGGCCAACCCACGGCCCACCCATCCGGGCTGAGTACAGCCCTGCCTCGGACGAAGGCGCGGGGAACCGCTGCGGGGACTCGGAAACCTTGGGCTGTGGCTCTCGGCTTCTGCAGGAAGACGGGTTCCAACGAAGGGCTCGAGGCCCCTTCCCTCACCTCTAAGGCTTGTCACTTGCGGGCTTCCCCCCCCCCCCCCCCCATCTCCCTGCTTTCCAGTCAGCTTTGTTCTGCCCTGGAAAGGCTTCCTTGCTTCGCCGTGGCCCCGGGGGCGGGTGGATGGAGGGGACCCTCTCAGTTCCGGGGCTCCGGACACTTGCCAGGAGGGTGGCGGAGGGACTTTTTCATGTGAGCGAAGAGGTTCCACGCTTAACGCCCTGCACCCCGCCCTATGGTTCCCTCGGCCCAACGCGGCGGGGCCTGGTGGCAGGACGCGAGTTTGGACCCACGGGGGAGCCCTGGGTGCGTGGGGTTTGACGGGTTGATCGGGCCGCCTGGGCGCTCTTTTGGGGCTGGCCCTGCCCTTGCGGTCCTGGGTGTCGGGGCCTGGGGCAGGGGTGCGGCCGGGCTGGGAAGACAGGGAAGGGGGGGAGCGTGCGCTGCGGGAACCCAGGCCTTCTTGGCTCCGGAGCCGCGCGGGCTGCGCCCCCGCATTCCACGCATTCCCGCCTGGCCTCGGTTCCGCCGCCACGTGGTCGCTCCGCGCGCTGCGCTACCGTAAGGCTTGGAGAAGGCGCGCACTCGCGGCCCCGAGCGAGCGCAACGGACCTCCCAGCACGCAGGACTGCAAGACAGGAAGCAGGGCCCAGCCGAAGTGCCCCGCCGGCCCTCTCCCGCAGTATAGATAGAGGCTGCTTTTTTACGTAATCAGGAGAGCAGCACTGCTCCCGCAATGGCATATCTCTTTGTAAAGACAGGCTTGGAAGGGTGCTCAGGCCCCACTGCTGCCCGGAATAGGGTGGCTGACTGTCCATCGGAGGAACCTGACCGAACCGGACCAGTGACCATTATGGCTTCCCAGCAGTGACAGGGCAGGAGAGGAGCTGCAGCTGTCGGATTACTTAAAAAAAAAAACCCTTTCTTTTCATTCTTAATTAATTAATTACATTAATTAAGATCAATTCGTGTCTCGGTCCAATGGTGTGCTAGGGGTGCGGAATGCAAGGGGTGCTTAGCACAGAGGAAAATATTTGTTAGCCGCCACAACTGAAAAAAAAAAAAAAATGCCCTGCAGGTTCCTTCCTCAGAGGGCGTTCTGAGCACCTGACCTTAACTAGCAGGATGCCTGCCCTGTGCCTCCTGGGGCCCAGCGTGACCCTTCCCCCCCTCCCCAGGCGTGGCTGGGTC